GACCACCCTAAAGGGAAGTGTTGTCCCTCCGTTAAATTAAGGGACAAAGGGATTTCATGAAAGATTTTCTTCGACCTCTACTATGCGAGAGAGGAAGAATTTTGAGCTTTGCGTAGATGTTTACCAGCCCGAAAAGCCAAAGCGCCTTTAGAATTCTTCCTCCGATGATGTCCTGGTGTGTCTAAAGCTCGGATACGTCTCCCTCGGCACTGTCCCTTCTCATCTATACGAGCCATTTCTATCATCACCTTAGTTTTATGACGCAAATGATCCAATTTTTGCTGTTGCCGCGATAAGGCGACTGGGTCGGTTGAGCTTGCTGCCTCGGACCTGGCTAAATCCGCAGTATCTTTGAGGGCAACCTCTACAAGCTCGTCATCACTGTCCAGAAGAATAGCTTCGGGAGGGACTTCCAGATCAGAGTCGTCCTCATCGACTGTCCTCATTTCCTGTAAACATTTGTAAGAGAAAAAGATAGCTCAGATAGTTTTGTTGAATAGACTAGTAAGTGGTAAGAGCTAAGAAATAAAGTGGAAATAAGGGTTTTTAGAAAGCAGAAACATGCTATTCCTATGGCATATTTGAGGCAATTAAGGAATATAAAATGGTCTGCATCGCACCTACACCGTAATATTATAGTAATAAAAGCATCATACCATTACTACACAAATTAAATGAAACTCCATAGTACTTAAACAGTTTTTACCCAGGAATTTACAATTTGCATTCGAATAGTTAACATAATTAACTAGCGTGGATTCGAATATATTAGACTATTTGATATGGTATACAAATTTTTTAAATAAAGGTTGGCAAGAGTAGGATTAATCAAGATGTATTTAATATATGTATGACAAGATATATGGCTTTGAATTGCCCAGTCTGAACCAGAGTTGATGCTGGAGTAGCTTTCATTTCGCTTGAAGAGGAGAGTGGAATGGAATCTTAAGTTGGTCTCATCAGTAGCTGTAGGGGATTGCCTGGAAGTTGTGACTGTAGATGTGTGGATAGGTCCTCGGCACACCAACCCGCGAGCCCATGAATATTTGCTAAGCTTTCGTCCGTCGCGTGACGAACAGTCAGAACAGGACACTGTGCAGTACGATAATTCATCAAGCACAAAGGCAAGAAAGGTAGCCGGCTGCAATCCTACATACTTTTAATAGCTTATCTAGCTCCAATTAGTGAGACATATCTTGATCTGGTTGGATATCCTATGCTCTGCCAAATTTTTGCTGAAAAGTAAAGATGAGTGACTGCAAATAAAGCGTGAAATAGATGAAACTTTGAGCGAAAAGCTGCATCCTCCCCTAAAACACTTGTATATTTGATGCTGCAATGTAAACGCATGTGATTGCGTTCCATTGAACGCGTACTGTGTGAACGCATTGCCCTTGAATTGCATAAGATATAAGTCAAAACTATATTCGAGTATAATCAAGCCTTCCCGTTTGCTCGGCAAGACTACGTTCCCTGCTCTATAATCCTATCCAACGGCCACAAGTAATCTCCATTTAACTGCCTACGCTCATTCCATCCTATTCAGGGTATTCG